AATGTATATTTGGGCAGCGACCTTTCGTGCAAACATTTTCGTTGAATATGACCAAAACATTATACATAGACTCAGTACAAATATGACATTTGTCACTTTACTGGCTGATGTTACCATTAGCATCCCGACTCTAGAGATCCAGCAATCGCTCGGTTCACTCGTCAGGGGCTATCGGCAATGAAAACGAAATTTAGAGGTATGCTATATTTATAGACAAATGGGTTTAATAATAAGGAGGAACGCATGTAAATCTCAAAGTGGACACTCAGATCAACACCAATTGGCGACAGTCACTTATATGCATGTAGTAAATAAATAAGCGTTAATGGTATAGACATTTATATGTCTATACTATATATATATATATATATATATATATATATATATATATAACTAGACTCGTTTCGAAAAACCCTCGAATTTTTATTTGCTAATCAAATCAATCTCGGAGGAAAAAAGGTTTTTAAAAAAAAAAAAGAAAGAGCTACAAACATGAACTTCTGCCGACGAAAAAAATCGCACAGATGCAGGTCTGAAGCCCAAAGAAAAAACCCCGATACGAGTAACAACTAACTAACAAAAGAGCTCAATACAACCGTAGAGCAGACCTAGATATCTATCTATCTGTATCTATATATATATATATATATATATATATATATATATATATATATATACTTTATATCAAATGGAGAACATTACTGTATATCGTAACACATATATAACCTCTAAAGAGGAAAGCGAGTCAAAGCTTTGGAAACTGTGAAAATGTTGAAAACTGCTTATAGAACACACAGAAAATAAACGGAAAGCATTGACAAGATACCAAGAAAGAATATCTGTTTAAAAATGTTACAACAAGAGATTTGATAAAGATTAAATGTGTAGTAAGCTATGGACGTGAAAAGAGGGTTTTCTTGAGAATGTAAACAGAGGAAAAAGGTAGAGTATTTTGAGAACACTGGTTAAAAAACAGAAACGCAACCAAAATACTACCTCTTAAATAAAAACATCCCGAAGTGAAAGCTCTAAGTAAAGTGATTCGGCGCTAATGATATGTTTTAACCCTTAAAGAATTTAATGATCCAAATACTTGTCACCCATTTAAAAGTTACAGTTTAAGACTTCCATACGCATAAAAGATAATCATATTTAATCTGACGTTATGTTTAATGACAGGAATCATAGGATAGCTGCTTGGACTGAGGAAATGGATAGCCGAGTTCGAATCCCTATCGAGTTCAACTCTTCTCCCACCAGGACAGACTGGGTACTATACCTTTGGGTGGCAACCGGTCACCCTGCTATGCAATATTTATATTAAGGAAAGGATCGTTTGCATTGACTCGATGATCCCGATTACGGTCGACTTCTGTTTAATGAACGCAATATAATAACAGAAATACCTACATTCAATCATGTGAAATTGTGCATAAAAACAGTTTAACGACGTTTCTCTGAATTTGAATGGATCATATAATAATGGTACTGATAATTAGAGCAGAGGAGAAACAGATAAAATTTCAAAGATTCTGTGCGCATAGATGACAGAGCAAAGACTGTGTGGATGCAAATGATAGAAAAATACTTTAGACCTACGAAGAACAGGATGCTGTGGAGAGGTATGATCACTTACAGCATGAAGGAAGACAGCATATATCAATGATATGGTACAGTAGTTATTTGGGACGGAATGAGGAACTATATCTAAGATTCAAAATAGATAGATAGGTCAGAAGAGACTGTAATATAAATTGATCGGTAGATAGATAGATAGATAGATAGATAGATAGATAGATAGATAGATAGATCAGAAAAGACTGGCAGATAGATAGATAGATAGATAGAAATAGATAGATAGATAGATAGATAGATAGATCAGAAAAAAGATAGATAGATAGATAGATAGATAGATAGATAGATAGATAGATAGATGAGGAAGATAGAGATGATAGATAGATAGATCAGACTGGCAGATAGATAGATAGATAGATAGATAGATAGATAGATAGATAGATCAGAAAAATAGATAGATAGATAGATAGATAGATAGGAAGAGACTGTAAGATAGATAGATAGATAGATAGATAGATAGATAGATAGATAGATAGATAGATAGATAGATAGATAGGTCGGAAGAGACTGTAACATAGATAGATAGATCATTTCTCAATAGTAACATTTAATAGGAATTTTCAACTATATGTGTTTGAGTATTTTCCAAATCCGTCTGCCTGAGATTGGCAACAGACAGAGGAAAAGAAATGATGTCTGTTAATATTTTATAAATGCGCTTCTTCTTCTTCTTCTTCTTCTTCTTCTTCTTCTTCTTCTTCTTTGTACCGTGTCACTTCATGATCTAGGCGATCCTGACTCTCCTCAACTTCCTGTCCTTTGTTGCCCTCAGTAAAGTTTGTCTTTTTGCTATATCTCTTATACACGGCTTTCTCTTCCCCTGAATTTTCCAAGCCCTCTTTCTTCGCTATATGCCCTAGACATTTCAACAAACTCTTTCTGATGCGGAACGTAAAATGCCCTTTCCGTTTCCATTTTCTCTAAAACTTCGACGCTGCCCACGCTTTCAATCATTGATATTCTCAGCATCCTTCTGTAGAGCAGCTTTTCTCTTGCTTCAAGTCTCTTCTTTGTCTGTGAGGTGATTGTCCAGCATTCAAGTGGATTGATATTACATAACAGCTCAGTACTCTTTTTTTATTATTTAATGATGGTAGCAAGATAAATATCTTAAGAATTACTCTAACTTCTTGGACGAGATGTTTTTTTTTTCACTTTTTCACTAGAACAGGCCACAACCTAAAAGCATTTAACTAAAAACTATATTCACGGAAGATAATTCTCCTCCTATTTTACCAATCCGGCTATTGCCAAAAATGTTTTCAAAGAAAAGGAATTACTGGAATGGTCTTCACACTCTTCAGATATTAATCTAATAGAAAACTTGTGGTCTGTCATTAAAAGTAATGTATGCGTGAATAGAAAACAATGTTAAAGCAAAGATCTTTGTAAAGCAATAAAACCTGCTTCAAATAATGATAAACTTGAAATCGAAGAAAAATTTAAAAATAAATGATTGAACCTCAAATAAAAAAAAAATTTATATAAGTTCAACTTGCTCGTAGTAACAATAGCGTCAAAAATATTCAGCTTTATGACATAGCGTTGATGAAATATTTGATACGGAGGCCTGTAACGATTATATGTGTTCGTAAATAGAAAATAATATTTTGCATTATAAAATCTGACAATGCCGAGACAATTAAGAATGCTGGCTAAAAACATGAAAGCAACCAAACTACCAACTTTAAGGAAACATTAGAAAAACGTTTAAGATGAGCGTCAGATATTCCATGAAAATTGATTTCTAAACTGTAATTTTCAGCCATGAATATTGGCATTGGATGAACCTGGTGGCGAGGCTAGTGGTTGCATCTTTCATGAGAATAGTCAACTAAAATTACTTTAAAAAAATGTGGATTCGGAGCCAGGAATTTGGCTTGTACGTTGGAGTAATGGCTTGGATTAAGAAATCAGAGAACAGAGTTCGAATTCAAGTCGAATCCACTTACGCGCATTACCGGTGGGAAAATGTATGAAGCCTCTTCTCCAAGCTATGGGTAAACAGCAGGGCAGACCGGGTTCTATAGCATTGGATGGTAACTGGTCTACCGCAGAAAGAAACTGCGGGAAAAAAAATTGCCTCGTCAGTCATGTATCTTTCGATACATGGTCGCCTAAACGTGATACCCGCATGACACATAACTGACTGTATTTACGTTAAAATGTATGTCCCTTCAAAATTGATTTGATAGCAAAATAAAATTAAGAGAATTATTGGAAATAATTGGGCAAAAATTCATTTTTAAATGGCACAGGTCACAATCAAGAAGCTGTAAGCACATGCAATCAACCTGATGTGAATCTGATAGAAAATTTGTTAGTCCTGAAAAGACTGAAAATCTATAAAGTAATAAAAAAAATAATATTCAAGACACGAATATATCTGGAAAGAAATAGAAATTAATATAAGTTCTATTCAAGTTGAAACAGTAGAAATCTATAGAGTGAACTATTTCGCCCATACTTAGAATGTTGCTACTATATATGGTCCGATGTCTCTGCTATTTACGCTCCTTGATAATAAAAAAAATTCCAACGGAGAATCGGCAATATTTTAGGTTTTGATCTGGCGGCTCGGCTTCAATTACTTTCCCACTGCCGTAAGATTGCTTTTCTGTGTCTTTTCTATAAATACTTTGAGGGTCATTATTTAGATAAGCTCTTCGCTATGGTACGTAAACTTTTTGAATTTAAGCGCAGTATCTAAAGGGTGCAAAGATTTCATCAATTTACAGTTGAACCGTAAGTTCTATGTTAATACTTTCTTTTCTCGCATTTCTCGCTTGTAGAACAACTCCCTTCCGGCTCCACGCTTTACAGCCAACTTTAATCTACCAAAAACGAAAATGCAATATCAATCGCTATATACTTTTCTTGGTTAATCTTTCCGCTTCCGCATCATTTATTAATGTTTCGGTTTCTAATTCCTCCACACTCTGTAACACCTTGGGGATTAGTGGCTTCATTAGTGTGCATGGGCTGATACCGATTAAAAAAATTTTAACAATAAAATTTGATTACGAAAAGGCGAATGAACGTTAGAGAATAATGAAGAGCCTATAGAGATGTGTAAAATGACAAGCACTAATTTATTCAGGGACATAGGCTATTGTCAATCAAATATGTTTGTCTCCGACCAATATTTTTTGGATTTATCAGTAGATAAAATTTTACGTTCTATGTTGTTTACGTAAGGAAAACTGAAACTGCTTATTATCAATGTTTTCAATTAATTTGAATTAAATTAAATAATTAAACCGAAAACAGTTTATTATTGATATTTTTAATTCGGGAAAAATATTTTAAGCTGAAATTCAACCGTTATATTTCTCACATAAATATAACTAATTCTGGAGATTTTACTAACATTGGTTGGATAATACCAAAATTGTAGATAGATAGATAGATAGATAGATAGATAGATAGATAGATAGATAGATAGATAGATAGATAGATGTGAATAGACTGACATAGATATAGATATATAGATAGATACATGTGAATAAACTGACATAGATAGATAGATAGATAGATAGATAGATAGATAGATAGATAGATAGATGTGAATAGACTGACATAGATATAGATAGATAGATAGATAGATAGATAGATAGATAGATAGATAGATGTGAATAAACTGACATAGATAGATAGATAGATAGATAGATAGATAGATAGATAGATAGATAGATAGATGTGAATAGACTGACATAGATATAGATATATAGGTAGATAAATAGATAGATGTGAATAAACTGACATAGATAATGAAAATAACCGAGATAGATAGATAGATAGATAGATAGATAGATAGATAGATAGATAGATAGATAGATAGATAGATAGATGGATGTAAAAATGTTTTCATTGATAAGTGCATAAGAAAGGATGATGCGGCGTTTCGAGTGTAAAAATATATCCGTATATACGATACATATATGCAGTTCTACAGTATTTAGATTTTTATATATATATATATATATATATATATATATATATATATATATATATATATATATATATATATATATATATATATATATATATATATATGTATGTATGTATGTATGTATGTATGTATGTATATATGTATACGTATTTCAACGAATGTATAGCTGTTTATGTATGTATGCTTATATATATATATGCATATATGAGTACGGATGTATCAGTCTGTGAGAGAGGGTCTATCTGTGTGTTTGTGTGTGAAAGAAAGAAAGAAACAAAGAAAGAAAGAAAGAAAGAAAGGTCTTGGTCTGATTTATAACTGATCTGGTGATAAATTTCCCTCCACTTCCATCGATCGGTGTTCGAGATCTTCAAACTTCCAATGTTTACAAACGGGATTCGAAGCACCCACTTGTAAACATAGTTTAATACAATATGGTTTTTCTTTTGTAGAATATTTCTGTCCTACACAAAGGGAAGCAGATTTTTTTTGTGATTTGATGATTCCTGCGCGTTTAAAATATTAAATTTCGAATCTGAGAGAGATACGCTTACTTCGGTATGAATAAGATGTCTGGTGACGGCGGCTAAACATTGATTAGAGAAAATGACAGTTTTTATTTATTTTTGTGTCTTATATATATATATATATATATATATATATATATATATATATGTTGTAATGGTTAACAATCTTGTCTCGTTAGAACTTTTACAACTGAGAAGCGAATTCAATTCCCACTAGGTGGCACATGCTTTTGGCCTTGTGCCACATCTAAGCTGTACTTAGAAAATCATTCTCAGGCACCGATCAATGGTTAGCAATCTCGTCTCGCTAGAGCAGTTACCACTAAATAAATAGTGATTTCAATCCTCACTGGGTGCCCCATATTTTCTGTCTTGTGCCACATCTAAGCTACGCTTGGAAAAAAATATATATATATATATGTGTGTGTGTGTGCGTGTGTTTGTGTGTGTGTGTGAATTAGGGTCAGATATAGATCAAATATGGATCTGAATCCGACAGACCGATAGCATTATGAACAAATAGCAAACGTTCATCAATCTAACACGTTTAGTTTAATATAAAAGTTCCTGTTTGTCAGGGAGTAACCTGATAATATGATTCTGGTATCTAGATGGATAGAATATGTTTTTGTCTTTTTGAAGCATGTATATATGAAAAAGTTCAAATGACTTATGACTTATCTTTCGACCTGAAGTCGTACAGAAACACCATCCAATTCGTCAGAGTTAGATATCCATTAATGAATTCAATTGATTCATTGACGAGCACGTCAGTGTTTTTGCATAACTTCGTATCGGGAAATATATTTCATTTTAATATATTTACAGACACTATAAACATATAAAATCCATATAATACATACATACATACATATATATATATATATATATATATATATATATATATATATATATAATATTATAAATTAATTGATTTAAAATATGGTTATTTTCGCTACACAGTTCAACCATGTTTCAAAAATAGAAGCTAAAAACCCTAATTTTATTTTTGCAAATAAATTAAAAGCATTAGTTCTATTTCATCTTCAAGCGAATTTCGCTTGAAGATGAAATAGAACTAATTTTTTAATTTATTTGCAAAATAAAATTAGGGTTTTAGCTTCTATTTTTGAAAACATGGTTGAACTGTGTAGCGAAAATAACCATATTTTAAATCAATTAATTTATAATATTTTGTAAATTTAATTGAGCACTATTTTGTAAAATAAAATATCTATAAGAACACCGGATTTTATATCTTACTGTTCTTTCTTTTTATTTATATATATATATATATATATATATATATATATAATTCAAATATATATATATATAATTCAAATATATATATATACATATTTAAACAAATATATATAAAATATATAT